ACATGTATAGTCACCATTTGTGTTGTTGAAAAAAGTATTTGCAATGAATAAGTCATTGGTCTTGCAAAATTCTATCATGCGATCTTCAGTGTTATTTCTATCACCAAGACCATGTTTTCTAACTACTGATAATTCTTCTTTGTTTCCAACTTTTGCATTCCAGTCACCAGTGATAATCAATACATCTTGACTGCATGTTCAATCAATTTCAGACTGCAGAAGATGGTAAAAATCTTCAGCTTCCTCATCTTTGGCTTTGGTGGTTGGTGCATAAATTTGAATAATAGCAGTATGAACCGGTGTTCCTTGTAGGCATATGGAAATTATCCTATCACTGACAGCATTGTACTTCAGGATAGATCTTGAGACAGTCTTTGTGACAATGAATGCCACACCATTCCTCTTCAATTTGTCTTTCACGGCATAGTAGATCATATGGTTTTCTGATTCAGAATGGCCAGAAACAGTTCATTTCAGCTTACTAATGCGTAGGATATTGATTTTTATGTGTTCCATTTCATTTTTGATAACTTCCAATATTCCTCGATTCATACTTTGTACATTCTATGTTCTGATTATTAATGGATGTTTGCAGCTTTTTTGTTTTTGTCATTTTGAGTCATGCTGCCTCAGCAAATGGAGGTCCTGAAAGCTTCACTCTATCCACATGATTAAGGTCAGGTCTACTCTGAGGAGGCAGCTCTTCCCAGATGTATCTTGAATGCCCTCCAACCTGAGAGGCTCATATTGGCACTATATTGGACAATGTTCTCCATAGCTGGCAACTAGAAATTCTTACTGGCCCTTTTTGTTTTCTGCAGTCATTATTGGATTGGCCCATGGCTCTTCGTGAGTACTTCTGCATTTTTTCTGTTTCAATGAGGTCAGCAGCAGCCTGGAGGCATGCCCCACCATCAGGCACCCCCACCCTGGCTGCCCCACCATCAGGCTTGGGACAGGGAGTAGGGAACCATACCACTGGTCAGGGGCCAACTATAATATAGCATCTTTCCCACCAGCCACTCCTCGGAAGGAAGGTTGGGCAATCCTACTTCCATAGTGATACTGCCTCAGAAACCCAAGGAGGGGTCGCTATGAGTCGGGGCCGACTCGACGGCACATAACAACAACAACAACAACATCTCTGCAGTGAAAGTTTCATTATCTGGGCCCTGAAAGTTAGTTACGTAGAGGATATGTTTCATCCCTAATTCCTTGATGACATCTTGCAGTTCCTCCATGGAGAACCACTGCAAAGGGGAACTGGGTGAGTCTCTCTCATTGGGCCAGGCCGCAGGACAGGCATATGTAATCCACCAGTGGAAGGGTAGTGCCCTGTTTATATTTGAAGCTGCATAAAGGTGCTGCCTTATGGTGGAGTGGGTAGTGATAGAAGCCATGTTAGACGCTTCTGTCTCTGAGAGCATCACGCCATCAGCACCAGTTCCCACAGCCTCAATAGCCAGGCCACGATGGATTCTTGGCCTTTCTGATGATAGCAGTTGGCCATTTCCACCATCTCGTTAGTTGTGTGAGCCTTCATGGGGTGTAGTCCCTTATATTCCTGGGGAGAAGCGTGCAGGAATCAACACAGGGAGTATGAAGACAGTTGATTTTAAATTTAGTGGTCATTAGTAGGTGCACCTCTAGATGTCTGGAGACCTCAATTTCCTTATTCCATCCTTTGTCTTCCCTATCTTCCCAGAATCTGAGGATTCTAGGTGGTCCCATCTTTTGGGATCCCAGTCTGCCTTACATAGCACAGCTTGGATCTGTTGGTGTGGGAAACAGTTCACTTTTACCTTAGCTAATCTGCATGCCAAGATTTCAATTTTCTGGTCAGCAACCTGGAGTTTAGAGACCATTGTTGGTGTTTCTTGTCTGGGCTAGTTGTGTATCTGGTTCTAGCCTAAGTTCCTCCTCTAATTGCCTAAATCTGCCAACCAAAACCAAAAGTCCAACTCACTGTTCTGGAGTCGGATCCAACTCATAGTGACCCTCCTTGGGTTTCCGAGGCAGCATCGCTTCAGAAGTAGATTGCCCAACCTGCCTTTTGAGGAGTAGCTGGTGGGTTTGAACCTCCAGCCTTCTGGTTAGCAGTCAAATGCCTTAGGCACTATGCTACCAGAGCTCAGTGGCCACCAATTCAGCTTGTGTGGTGACAGGGACTGTGTGTTAAAGGGGCCATGCTAATGAAGTGATGAGCGCTCAATAGTCAAGCTTTACCTGCTCAACCCCTAGTGCCTACAGTACTCCCAGCAGACCCTATGTGTTTTCAGGGCATCCCCGTACTCATGTGCAGGTCCTCAGCTGTCTAACAGCTGAGCTAGTGGCCCAAACATGGACACATTGGGGCCATTTCGGGACTTACCGACCACAGAGTCTCACCCCTACCCATATTCTCTGAGGCTACCAGAGGTCTTTTGGTCTCCTGGCTCTTGACTCACCAGCTGTCTAGATTATAACCAAAAGGCTTGTAATAGTAGGGATTCAAACCAAACTCAATGCCATCGAGTTGATTCCAACCCAAGCAACCTCCTATGGGTTTCTGAGGTGGTAAATCTTTGCCAAGTAGATTGCCCAGTCTTCCTTCCGCGGAGTGGCTGGATAGAGACCAAAAAACCACACCAAAGGCATGCTCGGGGACATGAAAGAGTTCTATTCTAAAGGGGAGGGGAGGGGGCTTACAAGAAAGGCAAGGTCACATCCAGCAGTAGCCAGCTGGTCTAATTCTGCTAAACCCTATCCCTTTCCAGAGATATTTATACCTCTGTTTTGAGGAACTATCAAATAGGGGCTATATGCCTGGTGTGAGGCTTAGTGGCCCCTGATGCTGCTGTTAACTAAGGAATGTGGCCCACAAGGGGGAAGGGGAGAAATGCCTTTACATTTATTCAGCACTTGGCTAAACAGGATGGGGTCTGGGAGCTGTTTTGGGGAGCTACAGCCATCCCGATACACCTAATTGTCGCCCAACCAGCTCCCCTTCTTTCTGTAAGAGAGAACAGTGATGTTGGGTCTTGCCTAAACTGGCGGTCAGATCAAAGGAAGACAAGAGTGGTTCTGGTGAAGGGAGGGCCTGGAGACTTGATCTGCATCAGTACACAGATACTTGGTAATTGGCTGAGGCTACAGTGGGCTGATTTTAACCATAACGCAAAACCAATGTTAGCCTTTTGTCTTGATGTTCCCATTTCATTCATTGAGCAATCAGCATATCAAATAAAGACCTGAAGACAAAAACATTTACTCTGGCAAACCCCTGTGGCCCTGTGGCGCTGTTAGAAGATTTATGTACTAGATTAACAAACTCTCATCCCAACAGGAAGCGTGTTCTGAATTTGCTAGTGTCATCAATTACCCATGTTAACAATAAAGAAGGGTGAATAGAGAGAGGTCTTATGGAGATTCTGTTGCTCATATAAAGAGCCCTGAGAGGAAGAAACTTCTCAGGGACTTTCTGAAATCCACAGCATCATCTAGGACAAGAGCTGGGTACTTCGGGGATCGTAGTAACTATAAACCATCTGTGCAAAAGAGAGAGAAAGAATGAATGAATGCCATTCAACTTCCTCACTGCTAAAAAGAAAAAAACAACCAAACTCACTGCAGTCAAGTTGGTCCTGACTCATAGGGACCCCTTCTTGGGTTTCCGAGGCAGTATCTTTACGGAAGTGATTGCCCAACCTTCCTTCCGAGGAGCAGCTGGTGCGTTTGAACCACCAGCTTTCTGGTTAGCAGTCAAATGCCTTAGGCACTACACTACCAAAGCTCCTACTGCTGGTTCTATAAAATTACTTTTCCTGTCAGAAAATATTCCTTCTGAATTCCTTTTCATTAGAAAATTGCCTTCCTAATTCTTCCTAAGTCTCCCATTTGGATAAATGATACTCCTTTTACTTTTCTTGCCTCCCCCTTCACCCAAGTTAGTATGTGTCTGCTCTCTAGTTAGTAGTTTACCCTCCCTCTCCTTCCCACCCTGGCAACTATCAAAGTATATTTCTTTTTGTGTGAAACCTTTTTCTTGATTTTTTGCAATAGTGGTCTCATACATTATTTTTCCTGTTGTGACTGACTGATTTCACTTAGCATAATGTCCTCTAGGTTCATCCATGTTACGAGATATTTCACATATTCATCATTGTTCTTTAAAGTTGCATAGTATTCCATTGTATGTGTGTACTGTAGTTTGTTGATCATTCCTCTGTTAATGGGCCCTTAGGTGGTTTCCATCTTTTTGCTATTGTCCATAATGCTGCGGTGAACATAAAGGACAAAACCAAATTCACTGAGGTGGAGTTGATTGTGACTCATAGCGACCCCTCCTTGAGTTTTTGAGGCAGTATCTCTACAGAAGTAGATTACCCAGTCTTTCTTCTGAGGAGGTGGGTTTGAACCGTCATCCTTCTCAGTTCATGTCATGGCTCTTCTTTCTCTAAGATATACACCCAGTAGTGGGATTGCTGGATCATATGGTATTTCTATTTCCAGCTTTTTAAGGAAGTACCACACTGTTTTCCACAGTGGTTGTACAATTTTACAGGACTGCAAGTAGTGTATGGGTATTTCCATTTCTCCATACCCTCACCATATTTATTGTTTTCTGTTGATGTTCCTCTTTTTACTAACAAACTCTAACACTTACAAGCTGAGTAACCTTAAGCCAAACTACACTACCATGCTTCCTGAGCCTCGGTTACTTCATCTATGAAGTGGGGATAATACCTACCTTGCAAGGGTATTTTGAAGATTAGAAAAATCTTCTAGTCTTCGACAACATGGCAGCTGTTTAGTAAACAATGCTGTTTTTTTTAATTGATATAAAAGCAAACAACATATCAACAAATATTAGCTACTCTGAGACTTTGCGTAGGTGACAAAATGTTCCTGTTGAAGTTCTCTTATATTCTCTCATGTTCATATCACCAAGATGCATTTACCCTTCTTTTGCTTACATGAGTCCCAACTCGATCTGGTCATCCTTTCTCTGTTATGCACAGGTTATTCTTCTCTAAAGACTGTGAGACCTCATCCTGGGCGGCCCTTCTTCCACACTCAGCCTCGAAGCACTCCTGGCCTGATGCCTCGACCCCCGCCTGCCCAACCAGTGCATGGCCGGACGGACTGGACTTCCAAGTATGCATCTCGGCGATGACTATTGTAAGGCTCCGTGGAAGGGAAAGCAGGACACTTTCCCCTGGCTCTTTGTGGCTTTCTACCTGCGAGAAACAGGAGGACACTGTATAACACTTTATAGTTATCTTCTGAACAGAGACATTTCAGTCTTTTTTTGAAAGTTTTTTTGTTTTGTTTTGTTTTTTAAATATTAATTTGAAGGCAATACCCCTTTTTTGTACAAAATTATTTTATTCTAAAACTGGGTCCCGTTATTTTCTTAAACAGCAGCATTTTGTATATATATGGATTATGTTAGCATTTTATACAGTCAACTTTGTAATGAATTTTTTAAAGATTAATTGATTTTCCTTTGGGGTTCCAGATAATATTTTATACAGATTTAAAAAAAAATATAACGAAACTGATGCAGTATTGCAATAGGAGTGCAATTTAGGGTTATGTGATAAAGAATTATTTACTCAATGTGTGTGGGTATTTGTGAAGTGGTTAAATTTTAAATGTGGCACACTCGGTAGGTTTTTCAGGCTTTCTTAGACTGGCATTAATGCTAGAAAAGTGATTGCCTGTTTTTCTCAATATCATGTCATGTCATCATCAGTTTGGGTTTTTTTGACACCTCTTTACTGTTCTGAAATTACTAGCTATGCCATAATTTGTTTTGTTGTTATTTCTCAGACGAGGTAACTCGAAGTAAATGCTTTTTAAAATTGTTTATAAAGTGATTGCAAAAATTAAGATGATTGGAAATATCCAGACGAAGCCAAGTTTAATCACATTATGCCATATCCTTTTTTTTTCCCTTCATTTTTAAAATCAAATTTGTAAATTCATACAAAAGGGAAATTTTTCAAGTCACAGTGTTTTCAGCATAAAGGTTAACACAGTCAAACTTCCACCCCTGACAGGATGCATGCAAGAAACTGAGTTTCAAAGCAGCAGAAGATATTTTTTATTGTAATAATGATGGAATTGTGAGTTTAGCTCAGTTTTCCAGGCGTGATTAGGAGCAGACAATATTTTCTTTCACAGTCAAATTTTTAGGGCAATCAGAGGGCAGAGGGATTTATGACAGACTTCTCTGGGAAGTCACGAAACCACCGTACTAGTGTCCATAGCACCACATTTGAATGCTTAACCGTTTTGTAGTTTCTTTCAGCGGTAAGAAGAACTCTATTATGTTGGGCAGAAGCTGTTCCATTGAGAGGAATGTTTACAACAATTTTAAAAATGACAAAGCTAGTTTGGAGACAGAAAAAAACAAAAGGTCCACAGTCATCCATCTCTATATGGCATGTTTTTTCCACTCATGCTTACCCAAAAGGCCCAAAAGACAGGAGGGAAGATCACTACCAGGGAATGCAATATTATTTCAAAAGTATATTGACTCACATTCTCCCAGGGCTTAAGCTACTCTTTGGGGTCACCAAGTTCCAAGATACAACAAGATGAACCCTATAAAACTGTCATTTTTATAGGCTAGTGTGATAGGTTAAAATAAATACTGGCATTTTCATGTGGTTCAAGCTAATAAGCCAGTATATTATTGCTTAGGTGTATTAATACTATGTTGCAGCCTGAATGAATTAACATGGCTTCCAAAGGGCCTTTACCTAACATCGGAGAGTAATTCATGCTTTAGAGAATCTGGGTCAAAAATGTACTGACTAAACAGCTGTGATCCCTAGGGGCATGAGAAAAGTACATAATGTATGTGGATTTGATAAAGAATATTTTCCTGTTAACAAACTGGCAGCAAAGCTTAAAAAAATACATATGTATATGCATGCACAACTTGAAGCTGAATTCATTTCTGTATTATATTCTCAACTCCATAGCTAAAGCAACAGAAAATATGTTTTCAGAGATGAGTCATTTACTATGAAGTTAATATTTATTTTTCCTGTCTGTATTATGTATAAAAAGTAAGTTTATCTGAAATTTTCCTCAGCTTGTTGGGAAGCTTGTTTTCGATTGTAAATACCCCTAGAGAAGCAAATGAATTGTGAATACCATATTCTTGGCACTCTAGCTTATGTTAAGTTTTGTTATATTGGAAAACCTAGTTATCTGGGTGTCACACACTATAAAATTGTTTTTCTAATTCTTTTGTAGAGCTCAACTTCAGAAAAATATTTCACTTTTCATTTTCTTCTCCTTAGTTTATTAGCAAACACCTTCCCTTGGGAAGCCAAACACACTTATTCATATAAAAGTGAAGAAACGGATGCATAGCCAAGAAAACTAGATGACCAAAAAGCAACCTAAATTCTAAAAAACTAGCAAAATCTTATAAAGTAGTCTTTTTTCCCCCCAAGTGAGAAAGAATAATTAGTGTATTCAAGTTATGTACTATAGAGAAAATTGTGACCGTTTTCTGTTAAGTGAACATAAAATGCTGCATGCTGCATATATTTTTAGTGACTAAAGAATTATATTTATTTGTAATGCAAGACAACAGGAATGATGGTTGTAACTGTACCTATCTGTGACTATACCTCATTTTCAATAGAAAGCTTTCTGGGATGTCAGGAGATGGTACAGGGTTGGCTCTCATTCCCTGCCCAAAGGTTTAGTGACAGAGGTGGGTCTCACTAGACCGTGCACAGTAGGAAGCTGCATTTGCACAAAAGCTACATTTGGGGTGCTTGCTCATTTTACAATAAAATTCCATTAAGTACACATGCTTTCACACCCTGCTTATATATAATAGGATTTATGTTGAAAGAAAATTGATTTTCAACTAATTTCTTAGACACATCTCCTGCCTACAGGATTATAGACATCTAATACAACAACAACAATAAAGTTATACTATGTCCTCTACTACAGTTAGCAAAAATTGAATACAGTCAAGGCAACACATGTAAAAGAAAACAAAACATGTTCTGTTTTTAAGTACAAACACAGATACTCTTGCAGTTAGTGAACACTGTGTTTTCACCAGTAAGCCGTTTTTGTGCCATTTAGCAGGAAATGATAATAATAATAATAATAATAATAATAATAATAATAATAATAATACAGGCTGTATGTTACACCTCAATGTATGATCAAAAGCAATATGTTTATGAGAAAATGTTTGACATGCAAATGTTTTATATCATTTAAAGCATACTGTAGCAACTTGTTTAATAAATGTTCTGTTTTAGAATGATTTTTACACTTTTCAACCAAATGTACTGTAATTTTATATAATTTATTATGAAGACCTTCATAGGGGAGCCATTAAGAAGACAGACTGGAGGCAAATATCACATTAATCTGTATTATCAGTTTCTTATAGATACTGTGCTAATGTGAATTTAAAATGACCTGAACAAAGTCTTCTGATCCCAGATATCTCAGTATGGATAGCAGCTTAGTCACCTGATTTGATTACAAGGGAGTAACTGAGACTGTATTTATTTATAAAGCAAATACTCATAATAATGAGAAGATAGGAGGACAGAAAGTCCCTTAACCAAGACCCTTCTGAAATAAAATGTTGCTTTTTTAATAGTTTGTCTTAAGGTGTTTAAGAGAATTAATTAACTTTGTGTAAGGAAAACTTTCCTGCCCTAAATAAAGTTCCAGTTTAAGAAAAATTTGATTGTTATGTTTTTCTTTTGGTGTTCTTCCATTAAAATATAACATTAATATTTCCTAATATTATATATTAATTTGTTTGGAATTTTGATGTTTTATAACTTCTCCTTAATATTTCATATAATGTTACTGCCATAAAATTGGAAGCATATGCTTAGAACAGCAGACGTAGAGTTATCCTCCAGTGTGGAGGTATTTCAGTTAAGCAAGTTAGGTGAATAATGATTAAAACCAGGTCAAAATAATTTCTTGTTACCGATTTCATCATGATTAACCAACTTTATGCTTTTGAGCTTTTTGGAACATTGTCATAACAATATGAACCTTTCAAAGAAGCTCATAGCATCATGAAGTATGTACAAGATTCCACAGAATTGAAAGGATTTTGTAAGACCATGATCTATCAAGGAGCTCTGGTAGCAGAGTGCTTAAGGCACTTGACTGCTAACCAGAAGGCTAGAGGTTCAAACCTACCAGCTCCTCAGAAGGAAGATTGGGCAATCTACTTCCGTAGTGATTCTGCCTCAAAAACCCAAGGAGGAGGGGTCGCTATGAGTTGGGTCCGACTCCATGGCAAATAACAACGACAACATGATCTATCTCAATCATGTACTGGTAAATCATACATCTACTCTTGTACTGGTAAATCCCTAAATGCTTCCTTACCGTTGGAGAATATTGCTAACCTTGCTGTGTTATCTTCAATATTTGTCTAACTATCGGGCATCCCATTGCATCCACTTCAGAAGTCCTGCAGTTTTAAGCTCTCTGACATCTTTCTTGCTAAGACTTGTTTTAATTGTTTTAATAGGATCTGATACTAGTTATTTATAGTTAAGGCTGAATTTAAGTCAATTGTTTCCCTTTTCCTGGAATGTTGACATATAAAGGGCTTTTCAAACAGATTTAATTCTGATTTTTGTTAAAAGCAGTTTTACCCATTACTGGGTGGGTGAGGGAAGGATTAAAAGCAGACAGGATTTCCCAGGGCTTCTGAAAGTATCTGGTAGCATAGTGGCTAAGACACTTGCCTGCTAACCAGACGGCTGGCGGTTCAAACCCACCAGCCACTCCTCGGAAGGAAGGTTGGGCAATCCTACTTCCGTAGTGATACTGCCTCAGAAACCCAAGGAGGGGTCGCTATGAGTCGGGGCCGACTCGACGGCACATAACAACAACAACTGAAAGTATGTTAGAGATATATAGGCACGAGGAGTAAGAGTTTCCCAGGCTGAGAGCTGACACCAAGGGTCTCCAGGAATAGGATGATTTCAAGGGCTTCTGAAGGATGGCAGAATTATAACAGACTTTTCATTTCTCCACAAGTCTGTGGATAATAGAACCTTATGATTCCACCTTAGTTTCTCTCCCAGCTAAACAATTTGCTAAGATTATGTTACCCCTGTTTTCATTAAGTTCCACCACTCATCTGTCAGTTTGTCGTATTGTGGCTGTTTGCATGTTGCTGTGAGGCTGGAGGCTATGGCACAAGTATTTCAAATACCATCAGGGTCACTGTGATAGTTGGAGCTGTGTGTCAACTTGGCTGGACCCTAGTTCTGTGTGGTTGTTCCCATGATGGGATCAGATGACTGTGTTCTGAGTGGTCAGTCTGCCCAAGGGGAGTTTCCCTAGGGGTGTGGCCTGCTTCCAAGATATCCAGGGACATCCTGGAAAGAGCCACATTCCTGGAGGGATTGGAACCCTGGTGTGTGGACTACAGACTTCTGTGAGTGAGCAGC